AGATAGATTAGATTAGATAAGATAAGATAAGATAGATAGATAGAGAAATAAGATAGATAGATAGATGGACTAGATAGATAGATAGATGTATAGATGTATGGTTTATTTAGCTAGAGTTGGGTGATTTTTAGGGTAAATATTGTTACATATTCCATACATGGAGCATTTGGGAATGGAGCATTTGGGAACACAGCTCAAAGGAAGGGCCGGGAAACCCAAAATGAAACAAACCTGCTTAAAAAGAGAAGGACAAGGCACGGCACACGAAAAGGGGAGCCATGAACAAACGCGTACGGTGCGCGCGTCTCAAGAGAAAAAGGAGTAAAACATACAGAAGGGGGGGCCCATGAAGTACATGTGGCAAAGACAGAAATGGAAAATGTAAGCGACAAAGGAGAAAACCGAAGACAAACCAAAAAAAGGGATCCCATACAACCAAAAGATAAACAAGAGCCAAACGCACTGAAAATGCGTCGTGAGCCGTCGTGTCTTCTAACTGAAGCGCTTTAAAGCCATCAAAAAAAAACTGTGTTGGCGCGCACACCTGGCGCAAGCCACCTAAAATTTAGGTTTAATCGCTTGGTAATCAGATATGGATGTTTAACAATCCCCATATGCTCCATGTATGGTATATTTAGCTAGAGTTGGGTGATTTTTAGGGTAAATGTTGTTAAAAATTCCATACACGGAACATTTGGGAATGGGGGATGGATGTTTAACAATCATTCGATCCGTAGATACAAATAGAATCAAATAGGTATTTCATGGGGTTTATTGGGATTTCATGGAAATATACTATACTGGGGTGATCAAACATGGCTGGCGTCGACATTTCCCTATAATTGGATGTTTTAACAGGAACATCTATATAGTACTGGTAGGAGATAATAGGAGTTGAATTATCCCAAACCAGTTGAGTTTAAGCAACTTACATGATAATGTAAGATAGTACAAGCAAAAATGATGGATGAACCAAGTGGTGAAAGGACAAAAACATGTTTGCTACACAAGGAGGGACAAACGTAAACATTCAAACCACCACTTGTTCTTTCACGTTCATTCAAGGTATCCTAGAGTACGCGTGCTGATGTGTGACCATTTTTCAGAAAGGGAATCCGAATAAAGCTAGGATACCACCCAAAATTAGCAATGCAACCTATACAAAAACGCAAAACCAACGACATAATGATTTGCAATAATTCAAAATACTTTGTCAATGGGTCCCAGGTACAGTAGTTGTAAAAACACCTTAATCACACAAATTCCCATTTTACAAGCAAATGATTCTGTAAGTTTTAGATGCGACATTTGTTCAGGTCTACAAACTCCTCAATTTGAATGATTCATGTCCAGCTGCATGTCCTCCGCAATATTTGCGCAAAATGACCCATAATTGGGACATCATGTCTTCATGTCAGTTGCTGGATGATCTGTCTTGCAATGAATGGAGGAAATTTTGATACACAATGTTAGTTGTTTTTTATTATTATCTTGTATACGACATCTGATAACCATGATCTTGTCTTGTACTGGTTCTTTGAGCAGCTTCGTTTTTTTCAATGCTCGGACATGGCACCGCAATTTGTTGCCATGAATCCTGCGATGTCAAATCAAACATGGGAAAATGCAGGAACAGTTCATTGATTTACTGCATGCCCAAAGTTAACGACCATATTTACAGATTGATTTGTGATGATTATTTTGCGATGATTTGCTGAATGGTTGAATGTTCAAAGATTTCAACATGACCAAGTTTGTGGTTTTAGTTGCAAACCGTTTTTTGAGCCATAACATAACTGTATTTTTTCACACTGAGCGCTAACACTGCTTTGAAGCATCTTCCATCTGGTTTTTCCCCATGGGGCCGCAATTGAAAATCCACCATTTATAGATGGTTTCCCCATGTTTTTTCCATTAAACACCATAAAAACTAGGATTTTCAGCACAGATGGTTATTTTGAGTATTTTCGATTGGGTTGTGCCATGTTGTGCCCCCGGAGCAGCCGTAGGAACGGCAAGAAACACGCCGAGAAGCAAAGTGGTGGTCCAACCAAGACACTCGGCGACGACGAAGAGGAGGCGACAAAGAAACAGATCTCCATAAGAATGTCCGCTTATATATATATATTTATTTATTTATTTAAGCTGTATATATGTTAGTGGTAGATTTGTTAGTTTAGTGTTCGGAACAAGTAGTTTAGTTTCATACATTATGTTAGTTTACCAGATAGAATATATGTAACTACTACTGTACCACTATAGAATCTCCATAAACTAACCTCCATGTTATATATATATATATATATATTACATGAATGATTTTTGCTTTGAGAGATTGGTATTTCCATGTGTTTTTTTGAATCATGTTTGAATGGCGGATGCCCAACACCGATACCATTCATGGATAGTATACAAAGCTGCATGAACGGGTTGTTCTTTGGATAGATGATGATAAACACAGGTAGATACAATATCGAATATCTATGAAAACTTAGCTATGTGGTTTTTATCACCATTCCATTTGTGTTTGGAAATACGGTTTGGACAACATAAACTTGTCTCAATCTGTGGTAGCAATCAGAGGCTCTCCCGTGCCATGCATGGCAGAAATACCATTTCCTATGAGAGGCATATTTGGATGTACATCCCAGTTGGTTATAATATGGTGAAACCAACGATCCCATATGCTCCATGGTGCTGGTATATTTACTTACATGACTGGGTGATTTTGTTCGTGTAAATGTTGGTAAATATTCCAGCACCATGGAGCATGTGGGATACTTAGTTCATCCATGTTCATCCATCAACGGTGAAACGGATGCCCGAGCACCAAGGCACATTGAGCCTTGGATGCACCTGGCCGTCCGAGAGGTCTAAAAAAATCAATTTTGGTCAGACTCCTGTGTCTCCCATATTAGTTTTGCATAGTTTTGCAAACTATATCAGTTGATATCAGTTGTTTGTAATAGTAATTAGCCTATAACTATATTTGGTTGATAATAGGAACCTCTCGCAGTTGGTTAGTTATCTTCCATATATGTTCGGATATTATTCGAATCACTGGTTGTATTAACGGATCGGATTGAGGGAAAGCAATCGCAGGTCGCGAGTTTTCCAGCCAAATTGAGGTTTCATTTTTTGCGATTGAATCCCCAAGAAGCATTAAAAAGAAAAGCAGGGTTGCTCCAACCCAATATATATATATATAGATATATCTGGGTAAATTATTATATTTCACTAACCTGAATAGTTCGGCCCATTTGGGGATGATTTCCCTTTAAAAACCATGATTCCAGGGTTCGGGAGAACAGTGAGGTCGTTATAATTTACCCTTTTCCTCTGTGCAGAGAGTCAGTGGCGTTATAATTTACCCAGATATATAATGTAAATGATAGCCACAAGCGGGGAGGTTCCCAGTGATTTTAGCTCTTTATCTACCTAGTTTCCCCCTTGTATCTGGAGTGTTGGGAGGAACCCTGTAAATCGTCTTTTTTGTTAGTCAAAGTCGCAACTTTTTGGCTGCTGGATGTTTCTGTTATTTGTCTACCACTTGGATGTGCAAGAGCCAGCTGCCAAATGGCTACTATAGCTCTTTTACTCCAGTTCGATAATGGTTTTAATTTGTTGTAATTACTTTCATAGTTGATAGAAGGCTAATGGCTAACATTGCTACTGTCATGACACTCATTTAGATACTATGAATATGGAGTTTTCTTCATAACTATCATATACAATTCAATTAAATCCATTTGGATGATACAGGTACTCCATATATGGAATTCTATTGGATCCATCAGAATCCATCACATAGATTAATTTTCCCATATTGTGCAAAATAATTTACTTATTGGATTCAATATTTTTCTATGTCATGTATTTATATCTACATATATGGAATTGTATTGGATCCCAATGGATCCCATAGTTATTATAATTCCACATTGTATAAAAATCCATACTAATCCATCCAATATAGAACTACATATATGAATTATCACCAGTTCTATAATACATGGATTAGTCACCACGGGCTGATGCCTGGGAACCCTTGAATACTTGCTGGTGGTATCATATACCCTCTGCTAAACGAACAAAAAACTATGGAAAACCACATGTTTTTTATGGGTAAATCAACTATTTCTATGGCCATTTTCAATAGCTATGTTAGTTTACCAGAGGGTAGCTATTATGTGTAGTTGTACAATCGAACACTTCTGACGTGTAGTTCTCGAGGCCTGTTCTATGGACTGCATTTCCCTTGTTATATGTATTTGCAAGGTCAAGGAAAGAACAAAATCTTTGACTTCCATCATGGAGGTGTTGTTGGGAGTAAAGACCTTCAGCCTGGTGTTCAAGGAGGTCGCTTGAAATGCAGAGTTGGCGTGAAACAACATCTGAAAACCTGACTCCCGCAATGCAAGAGATGGGTGGGGCACCTGCCTCGTCAAATGCAGCTTATGGTACTCCAGGGTATGTGTCTCCTTGTCCAACACTGACTGCAAAGGGTGCTCACATGCCTGGCTACGGTGCCTCGAATCGCTTCGTTACAGGATGTTTTTTTTTTCGATTTGCCATGGAGGATTTTACAAATCATTAGAACTTGACAGGAAGCGTATCCTAGAACTCTTTTCATAGTCACACTCTGGTAAACTAATTAATGTAGCTCTGGAAAATCACATTTTGTAATGGATAAATCGACAATTTCTATGAACATGTTCAATAGCAAACTTTTAGTCATTACCAGAGGGTATTAATCATTTTATTAACCCAATATTAACCATTATCATACCATTATTAACCCAACATCAACCACAACTGGTATCCAGTTGGTTGGGGATGTTTATCAATCCCTATTCATTACTGTTAATCACTATTACCCTCTGGTAAACAAACATAGCTATTGAACATGGCCATGCATAGTGAGTTTTCCCATTAAAAATGGGGATTTTCCATAGTTATGTTAGTTTACCAGAGGGTAATCACTATTAATCACCATCAATCACATTCAATCTCTGTTTGGGAATGGTTCGCCCAACTCAAGCTTTAGATTTGTTTGCAGACGCATCATATCACTACCGTTGATCTATGCCAGTTTGGGGCAGTTCAATGCCGTCTAGACAGTTGCCATCCGCAATATTTTCCTAATTCTTTGCCAATGTTTTGCATTGTTAAGACTTATATTACATAATCAATAGGATTCAGTATACCCCAGTTATCAATAATCTATATATATATATACACATAGATATCCACCTAGACCCTACAAATACTCTCAACAAATTGGTCAAAGTACCAGAAGATATGGGGTAGAGCAGCATCTTTGACAGGTACTTGGAGTGTTTAGGCGGAGTATCAAAAATTGGTCACCCATTGAAAACCAAGATAGCTGTGGAGACTCACCATTGAGAATAGGTCAACCAACAATCTAAGTGGGCCATTTTCGCCACATCAATTGTTCGTATCCTGACTCATGGGGTTGAACCCCCATAGGCCCATAGCCATTTAGATTATCTCAACTGCAGCCTGGCACAGTACATAGGTTATATTCAAATTATATCCCAAAGAGTTCACCAATGGCACAGTTATAGCCATTCATCAGAATTGTTAACCACTATAGAATAGTTTTTTTTTTTACATAGCCCTTATTTATTTTAGGAGCTGGTTGATATCCCCATGAACTCCCATTGACAATAGGGAAACAACGAAAAAAGTGGTTGCAGGATGGTCCCCCCGGTTCTAAGTTGGTTTTGTAGAACCCATTATGTAACTAGTTCGTTATATCTACCATAAACCGAATCGAATTCAGCCACTTGTATACAAGGCAACTGAACGCGAGCTCGACTGGGGGCCCCATCCTGTAGAACTGTTGGATAAATGTTTGTATATGGTCGACATATTGAACTATAGTTATATATATATATGATTGTTTTATAAACCAGCAAACATCACAGCGAGGGAACCACATTGGATGCATACCCTCTGCAAGGTGGTACCCCCCAGTTATAAGTTGGTTATAAACCCCAGTTATTGGACTTATTTGCACCAAGTTAGCGATTCCGAACTGGGGCACCACCTTGTGGTAATCAAGCATTGCAATGGACAATTACCATTCCCTGTGTCACCAGGAAGCCCATTTGTACGGCGCCTTGATGCTCTACACATCCAACGCCATCTACCGCCAGTTGAACGCAGCCCTGCGCAGCCACTTTGGAAAAACAAACAACCTCCAGCTGGGGACATCTATGGCAAAAACCAGGGGTTTATGTTGGTTTAATCGGTTTAATTGGTTTAATCTGCAGCGTTCAAAAACTGAGGCTGAATCTGCAACAACTGATGTATGATCTGCAAAAAAAATGGGGTTTACACCTGGATTTCCATGCAGTAATTATTTGCGTTTAACCACCAACAACCAGGGGTTTCACATGTTTTTTTGTTAAAAGTCCTATTTCATGTCGATTCAACACAGCCCCGGCGGATTCCAGGGCTTGGGGAAAGGCTTTGGCTCCTAGAAACTGACCCAGAAACACTGAGGCGAAGATCGGAATAAGATCAAGAAATACAAGCCCTACTTGAGGCCGCGGAAGCAATGCCATTTTCCTTGAGGGACCGCCCAAGATCTGAAATCAGCACCTCTATGGTTTGCACCAAAAAGTGTTCTGTACTTGCTGTCCGTTATTGTTTGGGGGGGAAGGGAAGTCCTTGATTTCCTGCGCAATCTGTAGTGGATGTCATGCTTGTTTTCAGCACTTTTTTAGACAGTGAATGTACATTGTATTTTGTTGATTCGTTTGATTTAGAAACCAAACGAAACAATGCATGACTGGTTGGTGGTTTGGAACATTTTTTATTGTCCATTTCATATATGGGCTGTCCTCCTTCCCATTGACTACTAAGTGTACAATTTTCAAGATGGTTGAAACTACCAACCAGTTTATTATTAACCATCATTAACCATATAATAACCATGTATTAACCATAAATAATAATGGGATAATGGTTGAAACCACCAACCAGAAATGAAACAATGCATGAGAAAGGGGGGGCCTTAGTCTCTTGGAATTTTCAAATGTGGCAAAGGTGTGGCTGCACCACGATGCATGGATCATGTGCCCTTTTGAGACACACCTAGACGACCTAGACGCAACGATCAACCTTTGGTCCAATGGATGGCTAAAAGGAAATGACTCTCCTACAATCACAATTTTGGTATACCCTCTGGTAATTTAACGTATTTTCATGGGAAAATGACCATAGAAATAGTGGATTTTCCCATGAATAGCATGGTGATTTTCCAGTTCGCTATGTTAGTCATTACCAGAGGGTATATCTTGTGATTGGAAGGAAAAAGCCAATGGAAAAACCTGAGTCACCTGGGTCACCCGGGTCGGTCGGTTATTCTGTTTTGACACATTGCTGCTGGTAAGGCTAGATCCCTATAAGTAGCATATAGATTGCATATAGATATTCAAGTTGCAGTTCTGTTTAGCGATTCATGTCACCACTTCGGTCGAGGCTCCTGTTTGAAGCCCTCAATCGATTGCCGCAACAGAAGAGGACCTTTTAATGGTCGCTGGTTGATCGATCAATAGGGGGATGAACAGTTAAAGTCCCCTTCACAACCAATGAGAATGAGTCAAGTTACCTATGAAAACAGTAAAGGACTGGGGAATAACCATCCATTAACATTCATTAACCAATTATAACTTAGGATACCTATAGGGCACCAGGGTTTTGACCCAGGATGAAATCCACCCTGAAGATGCCAACAATGGATGCCATGCCCATCGAGCCGATGCAACCATCACTGAGGACATGCCTGTGCCAGACTCCACCATGGAAGTCTTTGTTCTCCATGCTGAGGCCAAGTTTCCGATCCCATACAAGGTTGCCACGGATGCCACACCAGGCAAGGTGACAGTTGCTGAGGCTAGATTGCAGACCATGCCACTGCCCATTGCACCAAGGTCACTAGTAGCTACTCACTTGAAGCTTGACCAACCTTTGCATGCAGAACAGTATGTCTTGCTCCATGAAAACCTTCCCGAAAGTGCGAAATGTCCGTTCCTGTGTACCAAATACTCGAACAAGCAGATGACACTGAACCTTGGCTTGCCATGTTCAAGACTTGAAGCTCTCTGGCGCCAACAAGGATGGGTAGCAAAAGACGAGATGACATACTACCTCGAAGCAACTGAGTATGATGACCAAGGATATCCATTTCCACCAGCGATTTTCTTCAATGAAACAGATGCCAAAGAAACTGCCAAAGAATGGCTTGAAATTGGTATTGATGTTCATGCCACTGACAAACCATGGTGCTCAGCAGCAGCAGTGGCCGCGCATTGGATCCCTTTGATCATCTCTCACCAAGGGAATGTAATCCAGCTCATGACCACCCCTGAAGGTACATGCCTGATTGAACCAGCGAGCCAGATTGCCCATTCCATGGGCAAAACGATTGAAGTGACCCAGCGCATCTTGCCAGAAGCCTTCCCAGGTGATTGTGGATTCCAGGCCATTGCATGGTTGATTGCCAATCTCAACAACTTTGCAGTCGAAGCCATGTCAGCCTCCAGAGCTGCGCAGTGGAGACACCTTTTTGTTCGAGAGCTGTGCAAACGAGGAACTGGATATGAAATCATTCACCACCTGGACATAGCAGGCCATAAGTTGGATGCACAGGAACTGCGACAGCTTGCAGATCTTCTTGCCCAACATGGAGTGTGGCCGGAAAGAGCAGCCGACAGAGCCAATGCCTTGGCCAATGCCATCCCAGCCAGCAGCATCCGCAATGTAATTGCATCACCCCGACCATGGCAAGACCTCAAAGCAGCCGCAAACGGAATCAAGCCTCAGTTTAAACTCATCATGCCCGATGAGCTGAATGCTCAGATTGCCCAGCGAACCAATCACCGAAAGTATGGCAAGAAGCAGCAGCAGAAGCGCTTTGAAGCCTCTAAGGAACGCCTCACAGTAGCTGCAGCTGAACTGGTTGTGCCCCATGGAGTCTTCAAGCAACAAGACGGCACCATCCTGGGGCCACTGCAAGTAGGGGACATTGGACCAAACGCCAAAGGGGTCCTTTTGGTTGATCAAGCAGACTGCCAAGCCACCTTGCGCCTTCCAAAGCCTGTCACCCAGTCAGGACTTGCAGTTATTGTCCTGGCCACCAAGGACAACACTGACCAGCACCAGATGGAGCCAACCAGATTCCCAGCCATGTGCATTTCCACCCAAGAGCCGCTGATAGCATCAGGATACATGTATCAACTTGGCTCACAAGCTGTCATGCGTCATGAACCAAGTGTCAAGCTGGCCATCGAAGAGCAAGCCACGGAAGCCATGCGATGCCTCATCTTCAAAGACCAGGCAGGCCAACTTTGGGATCAGATCCAACAGCACCCAGTGAAACACATCTTTGCAACAGAGCCTTTGCTTGCAGCAGTCGACAATGTGTCACCTGTCATAGATGTCTGGGATCGCCAATGGGTTTCCAAGAAGTTTGAGAAAGTGAGACCAGCCAGCGCTGACATTTTTGTCTTTGCCTTCCGAATGCTTGCCGACCAAAGTGAGATGCTGCTAGCCAAAAGTGGCCAACATGGAATCTACTGGGAACCAAGAACGCCATGTGGAAGATACCCGAGTGATCACTTCCATGTAACATGGTTATCCAACATGACCTTTCAGGATGCCAAGTATGCCCAGCAGACTTCGCCACAAGCCACCACCTTGGCAAGGCACGGAGACCGATTTGGCCTTCGCAGTGACGTGATGAATGCTCAAGAGATCCATGACAAACACAGGCCCAACACTCCTCTTTTGATGGGCCAAACCAAGATGCTTTATGCAGTAGGCCCCCTGCCTTACTCAACAACCAAAGCAGCGCTGCACAAACTCCTGAAGGCATGGCAGTGGGAAGCCAAACCCTTACAGCCCAAAGGACGTGCACAAGACGGCAGTGGAGTGACATGGCACATCCAAGCCACGGAAGATCCTGGGCACTGGGTCTATTCCTTGCAGCATGGTGATGTGCTCATTTCCAGGATCCAAGACACCAAGCAAGCGGCAGTTCAGATGCCATACTCAATCGTTGCCTCAAAGAAAACCATCGAACACCTGCAGGGACCAGACCCTTGGGCGAACTACGATCCATGGCGAAAAGACGGACCGCCTAATGCAGGCCATGCCACCAAGCCATCCAGCAGTGCCCAACCAAGCCAGCCAGTCACCCAGGCACAACTTGCAGCCTGGGAAGTAAGCATGGAGAAGAAAATGCAAGCGTTTGCCAAACACCCTGATGGAGATGCTGACATGGACTCCACCACCATGGATGCGAGGATCACCAACTTGGAGAACCGCTTCAACCAAGTTCAACAAGCACAAGCTGGCATGGATACCAAGGTCAGCCAGCTTCAGGTTCAGATCGACCATCAAAGCAAGCTCCTGGGTGACAGAATTGACGAAAAGCTCACAGACCAGATGGAACGCATAGAGCAATTGCTCTCCAAGCGTTCACGTTTTGAATGACTAGGGACCACCATTAATTATGGCCTGACCAAATTGCACAGATGGTTGAAACCTCAACCTTTGCTCAGGACATCTGCACGCATCCGAAAGTCACCTCCAGTGACAACCAAGTTCAGGTTGATCTCAATGTTGATCATAGCTTTTGCCACTTCGTTCCGGCCGGGAGAGGCCACAACACCAGGACCAGTCATAGGAAACATGAACCCAACGGGCCTTATGGGGAAAGCCTCTGAGATTGCTGAAATGCCACCTGGCCTTTACACTTTCCAAGAGTCTCATCTAACCAGCCAAGGAATCCGTAAGTTCAAACAAGAACTATCTTGGTGCCAAACGGGGTATCGAATCTGCCATGGGCACCCAGCCCCACCAAAGAATGACTCTGTGAGAACAATTGGAGGACGTCACACGGGAACAGGAGTACTCACTCCATATCCATGCAGACCTGTGGATCACCACTGGAGCCAAGAACAATACCGCTCAGGGAGATGTCATGCTGCCATAGTTTTCATGCAAAAACGATGGATCACAGTAGGGACTGTCTATGGTTTCAGTGAAAGATCTCATTGCCTAGATGTACAACAGCAAACGGGCCTTCTGCTTGATGGCCTAACCACTCGAGTTGTTGAAGGAGCTCAGGGAATGAGAGTCATCACAGGCGACTGGAACCAAGAACGCCATAACTTGCCACAAGCAGATCAGTGGGAAGCCATGGGATGGATGGAAGCCCAAGCCTTTGCACAATGGCGATGGTCACAAACACCTTTGGCCACTTGCCGACGAACCACAGTAAAAGATTACACATATCTTTCCCCAGAGATCCTGCCGTATGTCAATGATGTTCAACTGGATTGGTCCATGTTCACTGACCATGCTGTCATCAAAGTTTTCTTGGACGACCTGAACAGATCTCCCATGATGCCAATGTGGCGCAAGCCAACCCAGATCCCATGGATGGAAAAACATGCCCACCAAATCCCTTGGGAAACTCATGCAATACCAACCCAAGACATGAATGAATGGTACCGGAGGATCTGGAACAATGTTGAACAGTTTGCACAAGCACAACAACTTGCCAATAACCAACCACCCCTGACAAGCAGCCAAAAAGGCAGGGGAGTTACAACTGAGGTCAAGTGGACGCAAGAACAAATTGCCCCCATCAAGCCCAACCGCAGAGGGGACGTCCAGAGTGCCCTGACCACCAGCTCTTTGCAGTACAGCCGATGGACTAGACAGCTTAGACGATTGCAACACTACACAAGATGTGCCAGCTCTGAAAGCTCCGCTACCATCATTGAACACCGAGCATGCCTATGGAGCAAGATCCTACAAGCCATAGGATTTGATGGCAATTTCCGTACGTGGTGGGCGAAACTGCCTAAGCTGTTCATCGACTCTCCAGTGTTTCTGCCAAGTCATCCCCCAGGGTTTGACATAGCCAATGCAGTCTTCCTTGAGTTCAGCAAGCAGTATAAAGCACTGGAAGCAAGCCTCACACGAGCCAAAATAAGCCATGCAGCACAGAAAAGAGCCAAAGATCCCTTACAGATCTACCGTGATCTCCAACGGGAACGAGCAGAACCAGTTCAGACCATTGTGACCACTGACACAATCCAGATCCAAGACTGCCAAAATGTTGGAGATGGTATGACGCAGTTGAGCCTTACATCGCCGATTCCCCAAAACTTGCATAGCATTGCCATCAATGGAATCCAAAATGCGGTCAGCATCCCAGATCCCCACCATGTAGTTGTGCCAGCAGAGGCATCCCAAGCCTTGGAATCAGGTATCAAAATCCACAAGGTTGAAGCCGAAGTCACTGCAGTGCTACATGCCTTTGAAGATGAATGGTCACCAAGATGGTTCAAGCCTGAACATGAGGACGCTCAACAATGGGAGACAATAGTAGGCTTCATGAAGCATGCTATGCCACCTAGGACCACCGAGTTCCCACCAATCACTGCCAAGCAGTTCACAAAAGCCGTAGCAGCCAAACGAAAATTTGCAGCCATTGGACCAGATGGGGTATCAAAGCAAGATATCCTGCACATGCCACCGTCAGCCATGTCTGACCTGATTGCGCTCATAGAATGCATTGAAGCAGGGTCCCCCTGGCCGACCCAAACCGTCACGGGCCTAGTTGCAGCCTTAGCAAAGACACCGTCGGCTCAAACCGTAGGCCAGTACAGACCCATATGCATCTTCTCATTGGTGTACAGAACATGGAGCTCTATCAGAGCCAGACAAAGCCTTCGATATCTCATGGACCTGGTACCCAGCACCCTCATGGGGAACATCCCAGGTAGATCCCCCCATAAGATTTGGTATCATCTGCAACAACTTATCGAACACTCTTATTGTCATGCCACTGAACAAGCCGGAGGCGTGGTAGACATTGTGAAGTGTTTCAATGCATTGCCTCGACATCCTCTTGCGGAAATTGCCAAACACCTGGGCTTGCCAGCGGCAGTAATGCGCCCGTGGCAACAAGCCTTAAACCAAATGACCCGCCGTTTCCAGGTTAGAGGTGCAGTTGGAAGACCTCTACCAAGCAATAGAGGATACCCAGAAGGCTGTGCCTTGTCAGTAGTAAGCATGGTGGTTGCCAACATCACCGCTGAATTGTGGATGTACTTCAGGTTTCCTTCCGTCAGGTTGTGGTCTTTTGTTGACAACATCGAAGCCACAGCAACATCAGCTCTTGAAGCAGTGGCTGCACTTGAAGCACTGGGTGAATTTTGCGATCTGATGGACCTCAGCATTGACCCTTGCAAGACATATGCCTGGAGTACCTCACCATCAGGTAGAAAACAAATCGTGGAAAGCCAATTCCACAAAAAGCTCTATGCCCGGGATCTTGGAGGGCACATGTGTTACTCCAAGTTGAAGACAAATGGCACCATCCAAGACAAAATCAGAGAGTTTTCACCGTTTTGGTTCCGACTTGCCAGATCCCTTGCACCCATGAAGCAAAAGGAAAGAGCCCTGTATGTCTCAGCTTGGCCTAACATCTTTTACGGGGTTAGCACCATAACTTTGGGGAATAACCATTTCCAACGCCTGAGGTCACAAAGTGCCAAAGCCTTGCATGTGAACCAAATCGGAGCCAACCCCGAACTTCAGCTTTCCTGCGTAGGAGTCCCAATGGCAGATCCTGAGCTTTACAGCGTCCTTTCAACCATCATGGCATTCCGTAACCATGGAGACCCTGATCTAGCACAATTCACGTTGCAACACCTCACCGATGGAGGGACAGCTTCACAAGGGCCATGTACGAGTTTTCTTGCAGCAGTTCACAAGTTAGCCTGGCATTGGACCCATGGAGACACTTGCCTTGACCAACATGGAGAACCAATTAGGATCACCAGTTGCCCACCAGCCGAGCTCAAACAGCGAGTTGTCCATGCATGGCAGCAACGAATCCTGCACTCCACAGAAGCCATCCGGACCACCATGACCGGATTAGCTAACTCAGATGTCAGACTGACAGTAAAAGTCCTTAGATCATTGCCTGATGATCAACAAGGTCTCATGCGTTGCGCACTCAATGGCACCCAATACACAAATGATGCCCTGCACCATGCAGGAGTGACTGACACAGATGCTTGCCGTTTTTGCAGTAAGAAGGACAGCTTGTTTCATAGAACTTGGCAATGTTCCTTCTTCCAAGACTTGCGTGAAGCGTTGCCTGATTTGCCTGACCCCAGCCTGACCCCATCCAGCACAGCCTGCCATGGATGGTTGCAGCAATCGCCTGACCTTGCCCAGTTGCGCCATCTATACATGCGACTGCCAGATACCACAACTGAATTCACAGAATGGAGAGTAAATGAAAACCTCCAGTACCTTGACATGTTTTTGGACGGAAGCTGTGTGCATCCTTCAGAGATAGACACCCGAATCGCCAGTTGGGCAGTTGTTATTTGGGATGGCCAAGACTTCAAGCGCATTGCATGCGGTTTAGTTCCAGGGTGGAGACAGACAAGTTTGCGCGCAGAATTGACAGCAGCCATAGCAGCCTTAAAATATGCCGCCAGCCGGCAACGCCTTTGCCGCCTATGGTTCGACAATGAGAATGTGCAAAACACGCTCCAGCAATGGATTCAAGGTTTTTCCACTGCATGGGAGAAAAAGCAAGATAGTGACTTGTGGCATCAACTTCATGCGCAGTTCAGACATTCCCAGTCATACCTTTCTGCAGCATATAAAGTTCAAGCACACGCAAAAGTGATGGACCAGCCGCATCCACTAGATGCGTGGGCAGTGCAAGGAAATATTACAGCAGACCTTTTTGCAGCAGAAGCTAGAAAAAGACTCACACCAGAGTTTTGGACAGTTTGGGAGAAAGTTCGCACTCACCAAGCTCAGACCTTGAAGAGTGGTAAAGCGCTTCATTACCTGTTTGTTCAAATCGGCCTTCGAGCACAAGCTGCGACAGTTTCCACACCAGTCCCAGTACCGCAGATTTTGGCACAAGATACAACTGCTGACGTCGACACAGGTATCATGGCGCTGGCGGGAAAAGAGGTCACTGATTTTCCGAAGCATTTACAAGTTGATGAAACATTTCACATACTGCAATGGGTACGTACGTTGACATCAGAATCTTTGGGCACTACATGGGTTTCGTATCATCAACTTCTTGTTGACTACCAAAAACAAACGCACAGACTTGGACCATACACAAATGGACGGAAATGGACAGCCAGAGGGGTAGATGTACTTTACAATTATCCCCAGCAAGTTCAGATGTTCGGAAGATTCCTCCAAAACTTGGCCAAGGGAATCGACAAACCTTTGCTGACTGATCAACGCAGACCTTCAAGCACAGTTTTGGCATTCTGGAGTGGCTGCTTACGTGTGGCAATAGCCGAAGAAAGGCTCACAGAAGTCGACCGACACTACCGGGGCGTAGTACAGAGCCTACCCGTGCGACAGATCACACGGGATATGGCCAATGTACCACCAGGTTTCTTTGCAGATTAGATACGTTTCTTGGGGCGAGCAATCGACTCCGCCTTCTGAGCGATTGCTTCCGATGAAAGGGTAGAAAGGGTAGGGTTTTGACTCACAACGATGGGTTCCGGCTGCTTCGCAACTAATTAATGCATCATAGAACCTGAGAATTGCCAATATATAGATCCACCCACGTTACTTAGTATGGTCTATGCTCACTCAGGGAGTAGCTTCGAGTCCTGTGGTGGGTTGACACTGACCTGTGATCCACACTTGGCGGATGGCACGCGTTTTGAATGGGCCTCCAGAATCCCAAAGTTTAGATGCTAACCTCACGTGCAATTCCTGGGATGCTACCCTCACGTCAAGTTGTTTCTAGATGATGGTTCTGCCAACAGCTGATATCCCCCTATTTGGAAAGGGTGCACCCCCCACGTCCCCCACGTTTCACGCAACGTGATTGCGATTGGATGATCCAAATAATATTGTGATCAACACATGATAACCATTCTATACTCTCTTGCAACCAAACATGGCCAGCTGGAAACTCCCGTATAACTGGGGGTTTCTAGCTGGGAAAAGCATCGAACTAAATGGACAATGTTCCAGGAAACCATGTGTGCATTCATTTGGATCGCAATCTGATAGTGTTTCAAACTGTCATGGTATAATTTAGTCTGTATATCCCAATGGTTGCCAAAACAAATGTCCCATCATGCCCAAATTGTAGGTTAGGTAAATACGTTTGTATAATATCATACACACGGAGGTGCATCCCAGGCATACTGCATATTATATGAAGTGGGTATATACCCCAGTTAATATATATATATATATACACAGTATATATATATATACACACAGTATATATATATAGATATACATGCAAAATCCCCAATTAATCAATGATCTATTGGTTCTCTTACGCTATTTGACTTGCCAAAAAAAGGTGAGACCTCGATGCCCAGGACACTTTGGCGCGGCATTGGCGTTGACCTCTTTGATCAGTACACGGTGGCACCTTGGATACGCCGTAGGTAGATTCGCCATCGGATGTAAGTTGGGATGTAACATGATATAATTCCTGGAGAACTGTAGAAATTGTTAAGCTGATTTATGTGTATATATATATATACATGGTCAGTATATATATATATGTAGAGAGAGAGTGAGATATTGTTAGATGGGTGAACATACTTATAACCTGGGCGTACTGTGCGGCGTAGATTTTTCCTGGTGGAGCCTTCTTTGCCTGGCCGCGCGGTGCATCCTGTTCAACTAAACTTGTTGTTTTTTGGTGACGTGTTTAATTTATGTTTACCCTCTGGTAAATAAACATAGACCCTGAAAATAGCAAATGTTTAATGGAAACTAGTCTTCCAACCCCTATCTGCCAGGGTCTATATTAATTTACCAGAGGGTAATTTATCAAGATGTAGGGTGACAAAACAGGGACCGTAAAGTTGCAAAAGTGATCACGCACAATCACTATAGGAGTACCTTGACCCAAAAATAAGTACTCATGACTCATGACATACATGGGTAGAGTAAAGTACCTAGCAACAATGTTGTAAAGTACATGTTTTTGTGTGAATAGATTTATCATGTTGGTGTGTTAAACTGTTAAACTCCATTAACCTCCAATCTTTTGTTGGTAGATATTCGCAGAAAACATCATTTTTCCGGTAAACACACGCAATAAACATGCTGAAAAGAAAGGGTACCTTCACATTTCGGACAAAGTGGACGAAAAATACAAATTGCAAATGACCCAAAATACATAAACCACATCAACAGATACATCAGATACATCAACAAATGCATCAGATTTAGGGTGGGATGATGACCACTTCTGTTAGAGGTCTTTCTGAAAAGTATAAGGCCTCATGTCATATATGTCATGTATGTCATATACCCTGGTTTTACATCATTTTACCACCAAAAAGCTGCCATGTTTGTTTGGCACCTCAGGGCTCTACCATCACCTGGTGGGGCGTCTCCAGTTGTACCTCCGACATGCAGGCGGCGTCGTTGTTTGTGTAGCGACCTTTTCTTTAGGAGATCCAAAGTGGAAGATGGTTACCAGTTGGAGATTTCCATGAGATGCACCCGGCCTGGTAAACTGCCACAAAAAACCATGGAAAATCACCATGCTATTTAGCTGGGTAAATGAACTATTTCGACTGGGCAATTTCCAATAGCAAACTGTTGTTTACCAGAGGGTAATGGGATTGTCACATTTATCGATGATTTACCTTCCTCCAGTAATAAAAGATAGCAATGGGATATGTTCTATTTATATGATTATTTCGCACTGATGGTTTCGTTCGCTGGGAAAATGGACGGGAGAAAAACACAGCCAGCTCTCGGACTTCGTCCTTGAGCAGAGAGGTGACGATCGGTTTAAACCCCCAAAATGTATGTGTTGATGGATGAAATCCTATAGGTCCTGTACAGTGTCTCTGTTGATTTTACAAGTCATTTGTTTTGTAATTGCAGTATGTTGGTTGTGAAGGAAATATCTTTTGTTGATTAATGCCAACAATACAGCTTTTCCAGTGATCTACAGATATCTACAATGTCTTTTCTTGATTTTCATAGCCTTGTCATGGCCTTTTCTTACAAGTTAAAGTCAATGTTTTTTTTTAACCGCAGGTGGCGAAGAACTTCATGAAGGGTTGCGGCACGGCCTGCAGTTTCCTCACGGTCAACACCAAGAGCGCTGTAGCTTGACGGGTGGTACCACCGGGTAATGGACTTTCTGGGTGGAACTATGGGTGAACAATGAAGCAATGTCAAGAAAACAGTTGGACATAGTGACATAGTGATTAATATCAGTTAGAGACATAGTGATTATATGTGATTATGACTATGGTCTATGGTTAACCACCAAAATAATGATAATGACGATGGGTTAACCATGAAAATTGATGATTGTAACTAGTGTTATTCATGAAGAATGAGAATGATTATAACATATTATAACTATGGTTAATTAAGAAACATGTCACAGTATGACTAAGGTGAACCATGAAAAATGATGCAACGATGGTTCCCGTAACCATCAAACATGGTGATCCAATATGTGAGTTAAGCATTCAACATAGAGATCTGATTGGATATTGATATATATATATATACAATTTGGTAAAAACATGGTGAAATATCACCCTGTAACATATCATACCATATGACCGGGCTTAGAACATCAATCCCACTTCTGCCATGGTGTGAACAGACGGGTACCATGGTGCCGGGGTTTTGACTCGTAGCCATATGAATGTCTGAAAATTGGGGATTTGACAATTTGGAGTTAGCCAGCCAACATGAGAAAAAATGCATTAAAACAACGGGTTGACGGTTGGTGGGGTACAACACAACCTGGCCTTTTTTTTACCAGCATGAGAGTGTGCGGGTTTGTCAAGGGATGTACTCTGTTGTATGGCCATTCAATGGAGACAATGACAAATTTCGAATAAATTTTGGATGATCTTAGGGTACATTATTTGGATCGTATCATTGTCCGAATGATTGGTTGATAGACAAGAGGGTGTCACGTTGCCACATCCTCGACTGTTTTTACCCGTACAATGAAGAGGTAAACAACGATACAGTAGATGGCATACCACAATCCTATTTAAATTCACAAAAGGACACTATTGGTTTCGCATTTGCCTCTGTAAGCGGTTGACTGGTTGACGTGGCCGGGCTGAAGATACATTGTACACAACTGGGTTCTAAAGATGCAAAATACTAGCATGTGGATGTAACTGGGATGCTTGAAAAACCCAGTGACCGGTGACTGGAAGGTTCAGCCCAGAAAAAGACAACGATGTGACTGGCAAAGTGTGGTTATATAAGATAGCGGGCAATCTTCTTGCCGATGTCACCACGTGCATGGTTTGCATGATATGTTAAACCTCACATATGTAGTCACATGATTTGCAATGTCATGTTGGATCGATCTTATCAGTTGCATTATATTCATGCATTATAATTTAGCCACTAAAATCAGATTTGCGCATGATGTGAATCCTTTAAACACCATTGTCATCATTATCATCAATATCAAACAATATGGCATCAAACATTCATCCATGGTTATGACAAATCCTAGAAAAAAACAGCACCATAATTCATCCATAGGTTTCATCAAACTTTTGGAATTGCCTTGCTGTTTTTTTTGCCCAGCAACGGATGAGCCGTCCAGCCGTCCAAGGTGGACATCTCCAACATCACGTTCTATGGGAATGAGAAGGACCGGGAGAGCCGGTGATGCCGATAAAATACGTTGGTTTTTCCCATGGGTACTCCAAAATAGATGGTTCTAATAGATGGAAAATCCTATCAGAAGATATGTTTTTTACAAATGCCACATGTTCTCAGCCACTTTTTTTGTTTACATTGTGTACTGGATAAGAACAACATGTTCTCCCCCAGATTCAATGGTGATCATATGTTTATTCCCGCGGGGAACCTGACCTGCCCTTTCTGAACACATCATTTTTGAGGGTTGATGTTTCACCAATAAATCTGTCGGAAGCTGATTGAAATTAGAACTAACTGCAGATCTTTGGTGAATTCGCAACGCCACTGTGATGTTTCCCCGCAATGCTGGGAATTGGAGTTTTACTGTAGAAAATCCTGCCTGAAATGGCTAGCTGAAATTCACTTGCGCTTCACCACAGTGCATCCATCAGCCCATGAGATCCAATGATGTTGGGTCTGTGGATTTTTTTTCAAGCAGTTGAGGTATTCTTAAACTGAATAGAAAGAACCAAATGGAATCCTATCGATTTGAGGCTTTTCACGTGGGCAAGATGTTCATCTGTTAAGGTCATCCACTCCAACATGACCCCTCGACGGTTTTTCACTTGGGTTGCCCAGTAACTGGGAAATGCCCTTTTTTTGTTGCCAAGGCCCATCATGAATATTTACAAGACACTTCAACACATATGCACATTATAAATGCACATCAACAAACTATCATGCACCTATAATCTTGATAATTATTGATTTAACAAACCATAAATAAACCATAAATAACCACAATATATGCAGATTGCCCCTGAAATCCTCATATCCGTGTTTTTCTCGCAGGAGAGTTTGTTGGCCCCAGGGACCCAGCTGAAGGCGGGCCGTCGGCTTCAATCTATTGATCACCTCTGCGGATCCCGTCATCTGATTCAGTCGTAAAGCTAGTGGCTAGCCAAGCCAGCAATCAGTAATCCAACTGCGAAAAAAATCATCATCAGAATCTTCCCAACATGTTATATAACATGTTTATACCGTGGCCAAGCTTTGACCCAGGTCCTGAACTCCTCACGGAAGGGGAAAGTCTCCGAGATCACCCTGGAAGAAGTGGGGCGACTGGTGGACTGATGCGGTGACACATGCAGGGCGATCTGCGACAAACCGCAAACATGTTTTTTTTGATATGTGTCGTGTAGGAGTGTAGGAAGTCGGATTGGAAGTCAGATGTAAATGGAATGAATTTGGATGAATGCATATAAATGCCACTTATGATGAGGGACTATACATACATGATTATGTTGATATCATTCTAAGCAGTTGTAGATACATTACGGACTTACCATAGATGGTCACTTATTGTGATTCCCAGATTCTCCAAGCTGGAGTGGACTCAGCAAGTTGGACCAGGATATGATTATAGCATATTATACCCTCTGGTATTTTTTACAGTTTGCTATTGAAAATGGCCCGTAGAAACAGTTGATTTACCTATTAAGATGCTGATTTTCAATAGCTATGTTAGTTTACCAGGGGGTAACTTTTGCCAAACGACTGGTTGAAAGCAAGACCCCATGAGGCATTTGTGCAGCTCAAGCGGGGAATACATCACTGTGTGCTTTTCTCATGGTGCATGCCTATATATTGGTTGTCAAGCCACCTTTCATTATTGTCATTATAGCACACATCTATCACCAAGATACGTCTCATTTAATGTGTTTGAACTTTTTCAAATAGCACTTTGCCTTGACTGCGCTGCGGTGTTTGTACTGTATAGTTTCAGGGTATCAATTGAGCCACTGGCAAAGCCTGTGTATGCTTCAACTGAAGAAAAGCGTCACCCTGCGCTCAACTAACATAATTAGATGTGAAAAACGCATGGCCGCCTGGTTTCCGAAATATGATCCATAGGTGGGTTGTCCAAATCTATGTTAGTTTACAGGAGGCTATATGCCATATTATGCCGTTATAGCTATGCAGCTACTGTAGCAATCATCCCATTGGGGAGAGTAACCCATCACCGTCATGTCTTGCCAAAGATGGAGCCTAGTTAACTTCAGTTCACTTCACTACAGATCGATTATTGACATAGTTCGCATGATATTTTCTCTTCTTGGGGCTTTTGCTCATATTATTCTTCCTTATGCGGTTTAGTCAATTTGCGGGTCCTAGATAACTTAGATAACTTAGATAACTTCATGTGACACCTATTAACCAAAGTCCATGACGCACATAGAGGTTTTGCCAATGGCTACTGCCAGCACAATCCCGCGATGGTTTTAGACGAGCGGTCGACGGTGCAGCAGATAACAGACGAAGACATAGACGGTGCTTTGACGGTGACGGGTGCCTTGGAAGATCCTCCGAATTCCCTCACGCTATCCAATATCCATGTATTCTCAGCATCTTTTACCAACATTGAACCAGGGGTGTTGACCTCTAAAGTAGCTCGTACAAGTAGCATCAACCATCACCTCCTGGGGATGATGAATTGACGACAACCAATTCTCAGGGAGATATCCGGCCTGGTCAAGTGCCACAAAAACGATGGAAAGATTCACCATGCTATTTAGCTGGCTGAATCAACTATTTCGACTGGGCCATTTTCAATAGCAAACTGTCACAAATTACCAGAGGGTATAGCCAAAGTTTGGAAGGTACCCAGTCCCGCCAGTCAGTGTTTCAGTTTCGGTCAATCTTTTCGCGTGACGTGGCCATTGCTATCGCTTGGAAAAGTGCTGTTTTGTCTGTGGTCAGGTGGGCAGAGTCGACAGAGTCGGCAGAGATATGTTTGAGGCAATGGTTATACACCCGATAAACGATGGTGAGGTACAGTTCTGGCCCTTTACCAGTTATAAGTACTTATAACCACATTTATAGAACGTATAATCCCATTTATAACCAGTTATAACTGGTAAATGGCCATAACTGTAGAATTGGTAGAATCGCAAACTTCAACACCTGATCATATCTGTGAATTATGAGCCAAAAAGACCGTTGCTTGGGAATTTTTGGGTTGGATATAGTTAGCTTCACAGCCTGATTTGCCTAAGAAGTGTGATAAAGACATTCTGTGACCGTGTCCTCTTCAAAGCATCGTAGCATGTCTGGCACATGTTCCGTTTCCAAAATAGCTTGATTGCCTACCCACCCCAATATATTCTTGGAAAATATTGACGATGACTGTTGATACCCTCTGGTGAACTAACATAGCAATGCAAAATCACCATTTTTGATGGGAAAATCCACTATAAATAGCCATTTTCCATTGCTATGTTAGTTCACCAGAGGGTAACTACTGATGACTATTGATGACTACTGGTACTGATGATTCATGACCCGTTTGCAGGATGTGCGAATCGACGGAGAGAAGATGACAGCTTTCCAGGCATTGCTTAGTGAGGTCTTAAAAGGGAACTATGTGTATACATACGCATTTTATTATCATATATTGTATGGAAAAACACACACATATATATATATATATTTAGGTACATTGATATCAGGTTACAATAGGTGAGACAAAAGCCTGGTAGGTCCTGTACAGTACATACATACATAATCATACATACAAACGTACAAACATACAAACGTACAAACATACAAACATACATAACATACAAACATACACATACACACATACATATATACAGACATACATACAGACATACAGAGATACATAGATACATAGATACATAGATAGATATAGATAGATACACAGATAGGATTCATAGATAGATAGATAGATAGATAGATAGATAGATAGATAGATAGATAGATTAGGTAGATTAGATAGATTAGATAGATAGATAAATAGATACATAGATAGATAAATAGATTGGTAGATACATAGATACATAGATACATAGATAGATAGAAAAGTAGATAAATAAATATCTAGATAGATAGATAGATAGATAGATAAATAGATACATAGATAGATACATAGATAGGTAGATACATAGATACATAGATCATAGATAGATAGAAAAGTAGATAGATATTTAGATAGATAGATAGATAGATAGATGGATAGATAGATAGATAGATACATAGATACATACATACACACATACACATGCATGCATGCATGCATGCATGCATGCATGCATGCATACATACACACATACACACATACATACATACATACATACATACATACATACATACATACATACATACATACATACATACACATACACACATACACACATACACACATACACACACATACACACATACACACATACACACATACACACATACACACATACACACACACATACATACATACATACATACATACATACATACATACATACATACATACATACATACATACATACATACATACATATGTACATACGTACGTACGTACGTACGTACGTATGTACGTACGTACATAGACGGTATATTCTGGTGCATTGTATTGACATACGCAGCCTGTGGATTGAATTCGCTTCTGAAGTCTTTGGAGTTTGGTATGGCGGTCAAGCATATAGTGTTAAGGGACATTTCTTTTCGTATACATGCATGTATTAACATCTAGATTACATGTGCATATATATATATATATACAAATATCTGTGTATTGTGTGTGATATATATTTATATATATATATATTATATACACATTCAGACATGACATGTATATATATAGGTAGGTATACATATTATGCACATTCGATATATATATATATACATATGTATGTATGTATGTATGTATGTATGTATGTATGTATGTATGTATGTATGTATGTATGTATGTATGTATGTATGTATGTATGTATGTATGTATGCGTATGTAACATATTTAGATGTATACGCCTGATTATAAATCTTGTGGCATGGTTCTGATGGATTTTATCATAGTTTCAGGAAGCAGAGTGTGTAAATAGTTATTGGGATTCACAAGCACAGCATGTCACTTTTTAGGTTTGGTCAGAATGTTTGTGGTGACTCTTGGGTCGACATTATTACTCGTTGGTGGTTTGGAACATTGTTTTTCCATTTATTGGGAATGTCATCATCCCAACTGACGAACTCATATTTTTTAGAGGGGTGGCTCAACCACCAACCAGTTATTATTACTTGGAAACTTGGATAATCATCCCACGGCTCGCAAGTGGCTTGGATGTTCATACTAACTGCTCGCCGGTGATGGGACCTTCAAAAATGGTCGCAAGTGGCATACAAAATAGGGGCCCATCAGCCAAGGGGGGGCCCAGGGTCCCATCCTTTTCTTCATTCCAACTCCGGTTTTTGCGAAATGGGCATTCTTTGTGGTGACGTCTCCGGTTGCAATCTGAATCCATTTGATGAGAAACTAAGAACCCCCATTTAGAATAGGAACCTCATCTTCTCATATCTTCACAAAGGCCACGGTCAGAAGTTATTTACATACAACCGTATTTGAGAAAGATACAGTAATCAATTCATTTGTTGTGTTGGGGATGTACAATATATATATATATACATTTGTTTATACATGGTTTACATATGGGTAACCCTGTTTGAGGAAGACAATCAATCCAGTAGTTGGGATTGTACAATATATATATATATATTAAATAGAGATACCCGTGTTGAGGATTCCCAGTATGGGTTGGATGACCAAGGTAGGGTCAATATCCGGTAGCAACCTGACCACGGCACCGGCACGGTGGGTGGAAGAATTCCACCTATCAACTGGTGATTTGGATTTACCATCCACACAGGATGGTGGTGTTCCAGTTCAAAGTTGATTTACTATACACATGGTAATTCTAGGAATAATAATAGCGTTTCCTGATAATAAACTTCTATAATCTACACTATAGTCTGTTTCCGTTTCTGGTAATTTGATGTATCCCCTTTACATAACTGAGTTCTATTCTCAACTTCTATATGTGAAATCCTATCGTTATTATATTTATGAACTATAACTGGTTGGTGGTCTGGAACATTTTTTTTTATTTTTCATTTCAGATATGGGTTGTCATCCTTCCCATGGACTTTCATATGTTTCAGGGTTGAAACCACCAACCAGTTTATTATTAACCATCATTAACTATATAATAACCATGTATTAACCATAAATAATAATGGATAATCCTTCCCATTCACTAATATTTTTCAAGATTGTTAAAACCACCAGAAAGGCCCATCCTGCAGTATCCTGCCCAGGGCTTCGTGAATATGGTCAATGCGAATCCGCAGGTTCGCGTCCAGAAGAGTTGGCTAAAGTGGGTGTATGGCTAATATAGCTAGATTTTATGGTATATAATATATACTATTGTACTAAAAAATATATATATTATTATTACATATATATTATATATAATACCTATATATTATATTTACATACTATATAGTGTATATGCAATATAATAAAATATAAATAATATAATATAGTAAAATGTAATATAATATTTTATTATACTATATTTCATTATTTGTTGTATTATAATATATTATTCTCGGTATTATATTTGATATTATATATATATATATATTGTAATGAATATTATTTAACATTATATATATACATTATATATTATGTATTTATAACTACCATATATATATATATTATTGATTGCATAATATATATATATTATTTATATTTTCTATATTATATAGTGTTTAAGTTTTATAATATTATATATATATATCATGTACAATACATATTATGTATATTATGATACATATTATGTCTATTATATTATACATAGGATTTGCATATTATAGTTTATATGTTTTACATTAATTATATATATATTCTATAATGTCTATTTTAATATAGATATAATATTATAGTGTATATATATATTATTGTAAATGTATTATGAAATTTATATTTTTTGAAAATATATCACATATATAGTTTATATATTCTATATATTATATTATTTTATTATATTATTCAAATTTATTTCTATTTTTTCAATTATGTTATATTATATGTTAAATTACAGTGGATATATATATAGTATTTATTTATTTATTTATATATTTTATATTATATTTATATTTATATCATTTATTACATAATATGTTTTTATATTATTTTTATTTAAATTATAGATAGTAACTGAGGTTCCCAAGCCAAATTATAATCAGGTGGCGGCACTATGTTGTACAGAAAACCCAATGGGCAAGTAATCTCGGCGGTTTTTTTTTCAAGGCAAATGTATGCTCTTGTTCAATGATGGTCCCTAAAATGACCATGTTTGATGGGCTACTTGATGACAAATTTTAGTCCATGAAGATCATGGAAACAAGAGGTTACGTTCGCGTGTTCGCGGAGTTCGTTTTATGTTTTTTTTCGTAAATGTCATACTTCCAGTCAAAGTGGGTTGACTCTGTTTTGTTTTCTATATTTTTGTACATTGGTTTGTCTGAGCACAGTCTCAATTCCACGGGTGAATCATTATTTTCACGAGGAACACTTGCCATTTTATGTGCCCCATGTGTGGACAAACCCATATCCCATAGGATCCATGTATGCCATATATGGTAACATTTACCATACATGGATCCTATGGGTATATGCCCCATGTGTTCAGAAATAACAAGTTATGCACCTCGGATGGCCTGGATGGCGACACCAGTTGTGTTTGATCTGGCGCCTTTGGCGACAGGTGGCCCTCACCTACCCTGTGGAGTTTTCAGGTGGTCCTTGAAAGTCCTGGCTGCGAGATGTTTCAGCTTAGAGTATAGCTGTAGCCCTCAATCAACTTAGGGTACACTGACTAATTGGTCAGTTTGGTAGATTCATACAATTGAAGTGTAATTATGAATATATATATATATATATTATATTATAATACATGTGTTTGCTATGTTCATTGGAATATTTGATGTTTGCCATGTTTGACTGGAATATGTGTGATATGGTTGCAAGCGTGTGCTTGCCATGTTACAATTGATCCGTATGTTTGCTACAACTTGTATCGATGTGTGCCTTTTTTGATGCGACTATTCATGCTTAATCAGATCGCACATGATTGTTTGCGATTAAGATTGGTAAACTAAGCTAGCAGTGAATATAGTCAATGCTTTGGGTTTGTAAACACACATAGGGGTGTAACCCATGTCATGGCCATTTCAAACTACAACCTGATGCTGAAAGTTGTGATGGTGTGAGTTCAGTCAGTCTCCTCTTTCAGCCATATCCGGTTCTCTTGATCCATGGGGAAACAGAAACCAGACACTCTATGAATATGTTTTTTTGGCCGACATGACCACGGAAAATCCACCACAAAGATTTGCACTGATTCTCTACACATTATGTTCCCATTCAAAATTGGATTTGCCGGCCAACCATGTTTTACTACCAGAGTCAGGGTATCATATGTGTCCCACCAACCTGTCGAATCACCTCCCACGTATTTGAGCACATTATCACGAGCTCACAATGACCTCACTCTAGATTGAGTAAGGCTAGTCATGGTCATCCCAAAATGCTATCCCAAATTAAATGGCCCCAAAAACATCCAAAACTCGATTTTCACATGTCGCAGTGACCAACTGCACTGGTGCTTAGTAGGGAAGGGAATGATCCATAATATATATATATATACAGTACATATATTAGTCATCATCCAATCATTAATTATTACAATGTGGGGCAGTTATAAGTTGGTTTATAAGCCCCAGTAACTATAGGTAAAAATACCATACACCATAGTTATTGGAGTTATGTTCACCAACTTAGCTATCGACTGGGGGTCTCACATTGTATGGTAGGGAATTATCATTTGTCATCCCAGCAACCTCCCCATTCCCTACTAAGCTCCCTACGTTAAGCAACCAGACGTTTTGACGGTCGCGCCTCGCCAGGCGCCATCGCCTCCCTTTGTCCACCACCGCCGCAGCTCCATCAGCCCCTGCAGCAGATCCTGTCAGGCCAGGATACGAAGTATGACGAAGCAATACGTATGTGGGGGTTATATGGTTTATCTGTGGGTTAGTCATGGGGTTATTGTGGGTTAGTCATGGGTTATTATGTGGGTTATATGGTTTTATGAGACATATTATGTTTTGTTTCCATGTTTTTGTTTTTTTTTAAAGACATACAATGATAAAATTCTATATAGAATATAAAATATATCTACTGGTTTTTATTATGATTTACTATGGGATAATAACCAATGGGATTTGTATAATATTACAACATGTTTTATCCTTATTGAATTTACTCACGAAAGTACTGTATATGATACAATGGGTTGATTATTGAATCTATGTATATATACTGCAACTAAATTTCCTAAGCGCGGTATATGAAAGCACGTGATGTTTCGCAGGTTTAAATGATATTAGTGGTATATAATGGGATATAATGAATACGGTAGGTCCAATGTAGGTGTGGGTTCTTATGATACTTATGGGATATCTGCGGTCAGAAAATTGGATATTTCATGGGTTTATTTCAGGGTTACCCGGCCTGGTAAACCTACAAAAAACGATGGAAAGATCCATCGTGCTATCAATGGGAAGATCCACTATTTCAATGGCCGTGTTCAAGTTCGCAAACTGTTTGTTTACCAGAGGGTATCAACTTTGTAAGTAGATTACAAGCATCCCAGGTATTGTGTGGAACGTTCGCGCCAGTTCCAAAGACATGGTGCGTGTGTGTGTGTGTGTGTCATCCAGCAATGAAAAACCTGGCGATGGAACAGGTCTATATTCACCGCATAAGAAAGCAAAATAGTGGATATTCAATTGCAATGTGTGTTACCCTCTGGTAAACTAACATAACTATAGAAAACCACCATTTTTAATGGGAAAACCCACTATAAATGGGCCATTTTCAATAGCTATTTTGACATAACCAGTGTGTTACCCTAGGGTTTCCCGTTCGGAAAAGGATCACACACTTCTCCAAGATTTCTGACTTTCAATTCCAATGATGAAATTCAACATTGTGAATCCTTCTATGATATTCTTTGATAAGCTATGCATTTTTTATTCTATACATTTCAATGTACCTTATCATAGAATATCATAGTACACATGATGACATCCTCCATTTCTGATTTTCAACATTGGTCAACATTGGTCAACATTGGTCAACCCTGAAACATCATGGTACGGTGCAGAACCGCAGGCTACAAGCAGGTGCCTCTGACCGACACGGGGACATGGCCAGCGATGGAGAAGTGGTAGGGCCTGGTAGGGCATGGAATTTCATAGTTCTTTAATGCTTTATATCTACCTAGGTTCCCGACCCATAGACGGCCGTATGGTTTTAGGAGTTTTTCATCAACAAAAATGTCGTTTTCGCTACAGTGAAACATCATTTTTTCTCATGTTGACGTGAAAAATAGGGTTTTGAACATCTCCAAAACTACTTCGTTTTTTGACATCAGTTCGTGTTTTTTTGCGACGCAGCACTTTTTTTCCTTCTTCTCAGAAGCGCTTCATTGCTTTGACGGCCTTGCAAAGTTCTTCGAGAAATCGGTGAGGTGTCAATGGTCCCAAAGATTTTCGCCAACAGTAACCCAAGACAAACTTTTCCAATTCAGGGTGTTCTTTTGTGTTGACTCCATGATACAACCGTCTTGGAAAGCTTTTGGGAATATAATCTTTCAGGCCTTTCCACCATCTGTCAGCGATTTGCGTCCCTGCCACAGTGGACAGGAAAAAAAAGGACGTGTGTGTGCAAGTGCAAGAGAACATAACAATAATGTAGCATGACGTGTGTGTGCAAGTTGACATGAACATCATTGCCCCACCCCACCCCACCCAACCCCACCCCAAGATAACCATAACGTAGCATGACGTGTGTGTGCAAGTGCAAGAGAACATAACAATAACGTAGCATGACGTGTGTGTGTGTGTGCAAGTTGACATGAAAGACCATCAAAAAACGAAAAATTGCCAAAAAATGCTTAAAACACCACGGCCGTCTATGGGTCGGGCTCCATCTACCTAGACACTCCAAGTATGTGTTTTGTTTTTTTTTTTTTATTTATGGTGATTTACCAATTTTGACCTAATAATTTTGATAATTACGTATACTCGTACCACTTGTTTGGTATTTGGAGGGTCTATGTATTCATAGGGAATTCTCTGGAATTTGAGGCAGTTTTTCTCTGTGTTGAAGGTCGTTTCCCAAATCGAACATTGAAACATGAGAATTCCCAACTCCCCCATGGTGTCAACCCGAAACAGAAGTAGCTGAATTGGGAAACCAGCAAAAGTAGCCGCAAGAATATAAATAATCTGAAATAATATGTCAACATGATCTTATATTTTGGTTTTTATCATTTACATAATCTCATTATAAGACTGATATTCTATGATAAGGTACATATTATGATTTACATATTAATCCTTTTATATGAATGATAATAAATGATAATCACCTGGAATAATATATGTACATGTTATATTCTATGGATTATTACATTAGATTTATACCCATTTTGGGATACCCATTTATAATTTGTTATTATTTACATAATCTTCATTATACCTAATATACATATTCATCTTAATAAATCATATTGAACTATATTCATTATTATTTATATTATAATTAATGACAATCATTTTATTCTATGCAGGTGTCCTATGGCTATCCCAAATCATCCAGTCGTGTCCGCGAACGGCGAACGCCAGACACCACAGTGGCCTCAGACCTGGCAAAAGGCGCTGGGAGATGCTGCAGGTTGAAGATACTTTGACATGACGTGATTCAACCGTTATGTAGTGTAATATGATTTAATATGTAGATATATAAATAAATATTTAAAATTATTTAATATGATTTAATATGATTTAATATGATTTAAAGACAATATGATTATATATATATATAATTGTATATACTATGTAATTATATATATATATATGTACTAAGTGTATATATATATATATACTAAGTGTGTATATATATATATATACTACAGTAAATGTTTACATAGACTATTTTACTGTGATAACCTTGACTATTCACTATGGTTTGAATTTATGTAAGTGAAGCAATGGTAAACCATTCCCAAATTGACCGTAAACGAATTGTATAAACCATCAGCATTATAGGCTTAGGTGGTTTTATTATTACTTTACTAACATGAAATAGGAAGGCTGTGGTATCCAGTTGAGACAAGGACATGATTTGGGTTCCTCAGAACAGCCTGGCAATTTTGTGCAGTGCCAAATCCCCCGCGCAGTTACCCCAAGACGTGCAGATGATCCTGTCGCACGTGCATCCTGGCGTCCAAGCGACTGGAAAATGGGGCTATTGTCCATTGCAAAAGGTTGATTTCTGGCGGGTACTATCTGAGATGTACTGAGATGTGAAGTACAGCCAGCAACAAGATTTTTCATGTTGCCTAGTGCAATTGCGCTGGGGATGGAACTTTCTGGAACTTTCATGAAAGGGTATGCCATATGCATTGATATGCGCACAACCTGGGAGGATCGGGTTTGTGCTTGGATGGGATGCTTGGGATTTACCTGGTCACCTGGTTGGTGCTTTGGAGAACTCATTAATTGTACTGGTGGGTGGCTCAATGAACTCAACCACCAACCAGTTTTTTGCTTTGGGATCAGGATTGAGAGATACCCTCTGGTTATTTAACATAGCCATGGTATAGATGGCCCATTTATAGATGGTTTACCTATTAGAAATGGTGATTTTCCATGGCTATGTTAAATAGCCAGAGGGTATTTCCGTTAGATCCAACTATTGTCTTTTTCTCTCTGGATATTTTCACGCAACCATGGAGAGATAACCGAAAAACCGACTGTCATACTGGAATCGTTGTGTGATTGAAAAAACCCTGGACCTGGTTGGTGAATGAGTTTGTCCAAACATGGGGATACACCCAAAAAAAATCCAAAAAAAACAGTTTTAATGGGAAGAGTGATGCGGGCAGCCATGTGATTTCGGAAGGTTTCCCATATTCTGAATGAGAAAAACCCAAACAAAGAATCTTCCTGATAGATTTCCCAGTTGCTGGATTACCACGTGGACTACCGAATCTCTGTTCCATAAGTGGATCATGTGGTGAATGAGAACATGGATGTCTGGAGTATCTTTAAATTTCTTCGTCAATCTTCATCGATGTGGTAAACCCGCTAATAAGCCATCGCATTAACCAACCATCAAAGGGGGCGTCAGGACTTTCATCATCCCAGTTCTAGAGCCCCTATGAATCATAAACCTCAAACTTGGGGATGGTGACTATTTGAGTAAATCCCACATCTGGTTAGTGGTTTGGAACATTTGGATTATTTTTCCCATCATATTGGGGTCATGTCATCATCCCAACTGACGAACTCATATTTTTCAGGGTAGGTATACCACCAACCAGTGAATCATTTGATGTTGCGATTTTGGCCGCATGGGGATTGCTCTCCCCACGGTCCAACTCCTCGAGGTATTCGGGACTGGAGCCCTGAGAGGCCGACGCAAGGGACATGTTTCGACGGGATGGGTTGGTTGGATTCGTGGTACCAGGTGAATTATCAAACATGAATGGTTTATAAACCCCATGAATACTATAGTTATTTGACCATAAACCAGATAGTTATTGGAGTTATGTTCACCAACTTAACTATCTAGTCTAGGGGGCACCACTTTGCAGGTAGTGAATTATCAAACATGAATCCACTAAGCGGAACTATAAGAACATTAATAATTGAATAAGCGAATCCCCCGAATCCTAAGCCAAGTTAGTTTTAGCTTAGTGTATTATTTGAATTTACCCAGACCACAGGGCCATGTGTTTATTTCACGTGGTAGGCTACCGCTGCCATGCTTTTTCATCCTATTTGAAATGGGGCACATACCCCATTTATCCCCATTTCATTGACCCCAAGTCAAATTGGTTAATTATCATCTGGTTGGTGGTTTCAAACATTTTTTTATTGTCCATGATATATGGGATAATGCTTCCCATTGACTAATATTTTTCAAATGTCGATACTGCCCTGTTGCAGACCGATAAATGTGATAAATGTAATATTTTTCAAAAGGGTTAAGACCACCAACCAGTCATTATTGGGCTACCTCATTTGCTTCCGAAACCATGGGATAACTTAGCAACTTTGATGTTGAGATCATCTCGAACATGGCCGAGTTTTTTCGCCCCATAGGTGTTTTGCCCAAAATGTGTGTGCTAGTTTTTGTGAGTTCCTTGACGATTTCGTGCTTTATGGTGCCTTTTACACGTCGTAGTTTTTATCATCTTTTGACATTGGGGTGTCGCGGTGTCTCCATGAAATGATTGTGCCCGGCCTGGTAAACATACAAAAAACTCTGGAAATTTGCCATGTTTCATGGGAAAATCCACTGTTTCGGCTGGGCCATTTTCAATAGCAAACTGTTAAAATACCAGAGGGTACAAGGATACGACTTCAGGATAGCTGTTGTTTACGCTGATGTTCAATCCACTATTGGAGATGATTAAAACATATGAAAGAAAACAACATTTCTGGATGGTTGACCACCATTTTTCCCGTGAAATCCACATGTTTCCCGACTTCTACGACCTGGTGAGGGTATTCACTACTTGTGGGGTACGTAGTCAAAAAGACGCTTCGATTGGTCGGACCATGGAGAGGCCATCACCCGGAAGCGCCCAAAATAAACAGCATGTGAATATATTCAGACTTATACTAATTACAGATGTATTATGATCAATGATGTATTAATATATATGTATATATATAAAATGTTTATTATTAAATTAAAATACTAATTAGACTATATATATATATTAATTATATTGTATATATTAATTAGTAAGTCTTGATATGTTTTACTAGGAATAACATCGACTTTGCCATATTGGAGGAGCCCTTCGTCCCATATCAGAGATTCTATCCGGGATAAGCCATCAATTTATGGGATAACCATTTATGTTACCCCCCGCGAATCAAACATAGCAATTGAAAATGAACATCCCCAAACTTAATCGAGGTTTATAGCTGGGAAATAGTTAATTATACTCTCTGGTTATGACTCACATAGCCATCGAAAATAGATGGCCCATTGATAGATGATTTTCCCAGCGACATCAACCTCCATTTATGGTTGGGATTTTCCATGGTTATGTTAGTCATAACCAGATGGTAATATATAATTTCCATCAATTTCCCATGAGCCTCTCTAAATGTAGTAACTTAGCTCTGGAAAATCATCTTTTTTAATGGGCAAATCACCAGATGGTTGTTCCAGATGGTAAATAAATAACCAGATGGTAAATTTGATGGATGTTCCAGCAAGCCATGTTTGATGACACCACGTCTTGCCAGGCACCGTCACGTGAGTAGGTGGCCAGAAAAAGCGGCCGGCGCTGCGACACCCCTCGAGCATCGCATGGAAACGAAATCGTATGAAATCGTGGCATGGAAACGAGGGTACGAGGTATTGAAATTCCAATAAATTGTCGGCTTGTTATATGGTTATAGACCACCAACAAGCACTTAAGTTGGGTTTCTCCAACCACCTATAATTTGCTTTATTTTTCGTGAAATTATCATAATTCAGCTGGATGAAGAGTTTGTGAATTGATTCCACAGTTGCCACTTTATCATGTTTTTTTTTCGCAGTTTAGCCAACAAAAATATCCAGGATGATGATGTGATTAGTTTTTTTTTCTGAACTTTATATAGAGATACTATCAATACTATCTCACCGTCTCTCAGCGGCAAAATTTTCTATGGGAGAATGGCTGGATTCGAGGCACCCCATAGCAAACTTACCTTAGAGGGTAAACTAAGAGATGAAATGACTGGAGGGTAAAGTAACGTAGTTACGTGGAGAGTGGTTTCCTTAGGAAAATATATAATCTACCAATGGAGAGTTTAACACTTTACAAACATCTATGTCAGTTTACAGGAGAGTATACTGGCAATCAAAGCCAAATATACCTTCAGGTAACAAACATGGCAATGGAAAATCATGGAAAATCCACCATTTAAAGATGAAATTCCCAGTATAAGGGAATTGTCCAGCCAGCCACGTTTGATTACCCGAGGGTGATCCAATTTTTGTCGAGGGGCCCAATTCGCAACCCCGCTATCAAGACTATATCATCCAAGCAAACACATACATATACTCATATACACATGTATAATCATGTATATATATAATACATAGAATTGTAACTGTATACATGAATGTCTTCAGTGTAGGAATTCATATATGTCCTTTGCCCAGATCGCCGATGTTTGTGGCTATTTTGATTTCGATATTTTCGATGCTCCGGGGCCTAGAAGGCGCACCAGTTCAAAAGGAAGCTGGAGCGAGTTCGCCAACGAGACGGCCTTTTGAGGCAAAACTTGCTGAGCGCTCCGATGGGATTCGGGGATTTTCACGCTGACGGTCCCGACTGGGGCAGGGTCGTGACGGTGGACGGTGGTGCCCGAAAGGACAGCCGTTTGGGAATCTGGTTTGTCACTACTATAGTGGATGTAATTGATAGATATCTTAACTACCAGTGGATATAAGTGATAGATATTCATAGTTAATGTGGGTTGTAAGCAAACCGGTTGTGATTAGTCAACTCCGGATCAATCAACCTCTGAGCTGTCTAGTTGGTAGGCTATCAGGCTACCATTTTAGTTGAAAATTATTTGGGTGCAACCACCCTAGTCAATCAAGCAGGGTTTATGAATTAGCGGTTTACATTTTTCTGTATAGAACGGAATATATTATGTGCTCCAAAGTTAGTCTCAAAGTTCTGGACAATGGAACGGCGGACCCATGAATTGACAGATAAGGAGCAATATGTATATATATATATTAAAAATGTGAACCATCAAAGACTGGGATAGAATAGAATAGCACTCCGGAACATTTTTTGTGCAATCATTTGTAAGCAGGAACAAAGGCAAAGCGTTGGGGAATGTTCAGAAACGCCATGAACCAAACTTCCAATGAGACCATCTTTTCTATATATCCACCTTGTGACAAAAATCATAGCTACCTTGAGCCTTGTGCCGTCCAATTTCCTCATTTCTGCAGTCGCTCAGTTTCCCTTCGCAGGGAATCAGTCGTGGATGGGCCTTGCAGCCACATACGCAATGTCTACCACCTGTGATGGGAGTCCCTTGGAGATCCACAAAATCACAGGTTGTTTATGGGATCATCCTGATGTGATCATGCCCCCAGCTCAACATCATGGTTTTTCGTGGCCCGGCGTTGCCACATGAAATCTGATCCTCAAGACTTTAGCCGCTAAACATCCTTCCACAATGGTCTAATACTTCAAGCTACACATTGTTGCAGCCGTACTCGCCCTTTCCGGGCTGCCGCCAGAGAAACGATGCCGGGAAAGCACAGCGGAAGGGAGGGTACAAACAATGGGTGGTTTAAACTACATAGTAGCAACCCCGCTATCCGCTATATATTCAGAAAAGGTGGTTACTTTGGAGAATCATTGGAAATATATCATATTATCAATATCAGCTATTATTATTGTTTTATAATTTACCATAATATACTATATTTACAACGACATGAACAATCGAACGCCTCTGTTTGCCGGGTTCCCATCAGGCACTGTCAACGCCCCATTGTGCTCCAACACCCATGTTGCAACCCTTTTCGGGCTCGACAAAATGTGATGCTTCCAGTGGTTCCTACCAATATGTTTGTGCATTGGGAACTCACAAGGTGGTACCCCCCAGTTATAAGTTGGTTTATAATCCCCATTAACTATAGATATAACCCCCATAAACCCTAGTTATTGGATTTATAAACCAACTTAGCTAACTATGGGGCACCACCTTGCAGTTTTGATCAACAAAAAAAACACCAACCACTCAGTTCTGTATCCAAAATCACCCATGGATGCCCTGAAATCCAACTGTTGATCATCATGAAATTTTCCATCAAACTTGGGGTATCTGTCATTTTTCAACAAACCGAAGAAGATTCTGGTCGTCATATGCATCTGCGAGAAAGGGTCGCCCAGGCTAAAACCACTAATGTGGGTAAAACCATAGTAAACGATTCCCCAAATCATCATTTTTATAGGTAGTATGTTTACCATTCCGAGTCATGGGTGGTAAACATGACATTGTTTTAGCCACAGAAAAATTATAAAACAATCATGATCATTCAAACCATCATTAAAACACCATATCAGCCCCATTAAATCAGGTAAAACCCCCCATGAGTCCCCATTAAATCACCATATCATCCCCATGAGTTGTTGATCATTCAAAGTGCCATTGTTTTGACTCTACAAGGTGGTACCCCCCAGTGATGTTTGTTGGTTTATAATCCCCATTAACTATAGATATAACCCCCTAATCAACCCTAGTGAAATTGGACTTATAAACCAAGTTAGCTAACTATGGGGCACCACCTTGTAGAAACTGATGTTTTGGATTCCATCAATTCAACTCAACTTTTGTCGCTCCAACTGAGAAAGAACATCTGTGAAATTCCTGGATTTGCTGATGTTTGGTGAATTTTCTCTATGGGAGATCCACCACTTGTGGAATCTCTAGGAAATAGAAATATCTGGTTGGTGGTTTGGAACATTTTAAATTTTCCATTTCATATATGGGAGAATCCTTCCCATTGACTTTCATATTGTTCAAGATGGTTTTTTAACCACCAACCAGATATGCATACTTTTTTTTCTATTTGAGGGGATTCCTGGATCGCATATCCCCCCCAAAAAATGAGATGATTTGGGGCTTGCGAAACGATCGCGAGAGCAACTCAGGGACGATGTTCAAGAGGTGGTCTTCACGCCGTTGTCTTTGCGGCAGGAGCGACGGTTCGGAGCGACCTTGGGAATTTGGAAAAAAGTGAAGATTTGATAGGCAATTCATGGTGGTGAAACAGATCAAAAAGTTAATTCATGGAAATATATGGGAGATATGATGGGTTTATCCTCTGGTAATTCAAGAGTTTGGCACGGAACATGTCCATGTTTAATAGGTAATCGATCGATCTACCGAAAGTGGGCCATGGCTTCCATAGCAAACTGTTAAACTACCGGAGGATACCCAGTTTCAACCCATGCCCATACACACTTATCAAATTTATCAGAATTCTAGCAAACTACAGCTCTTATCCCCAGTTTGTTGGTGCAACTGTCTCGAACATGTTTCAAGCATATCGAGCGATTATATTGGTTGCATACAAGTTGTATGCTGTTCATACAGATCGATTCAGATGAAAGATAGATGCTGTGAGATGTTCAATAACTACAACAGGTCCGTGAGTCCAAAAAAGAGCACATCAACGGTTTGCAGGTCATTCAAATTGGGCCCACCTGTCAAAGACATCTTCACCCAAGTAGGAGGTAATGAAGGTACTATGATTCATGATAATACAGAGAATTACTGGTTGGTGGTTTGGAACATGAATTTTATTTTTCCATTTCATATATGGGAATGTCATCATCCCAACTGGTCCGAACTCCATCATTTTTCAGAGGCGTAGGTCAATCACCAGAGAATGATATGAAGCCATGGAGGGCGTCCACTTGAGGTAACGAGAAAGATCCACCGATCCACCACGAGTCCAAAACTCCACCTATACATTTACGAGTCAAATCCCATCTGCGAAGAAATTCGGTGCTGGTATATGAAAACCCAAAAATGACTGGGTGATGAATTGTTCGGGCAAATGTTGGTGTTTTTATATTCCAGCACCATGCTTCGCATATGGGAACTATTTAATTATAGCCAACATCTTGACACGGAGATAACAAATGAAACTTTTGCAAACCCATAGGATCCATGTATGGTATATATGCTAACATTTGGGGTATATTGATGGGATCCATGTTACCATATATAGCATGAATGGATCCTATGGGAAACATACCCATTTTTTCAGAGTGAATTACGAAAAGGTCTCACTGAGATGTCATTTTTTAGATGCTTCGTGCCCATTTTTTTTTCCAAAGATTTTTGCTTGTGGTGAGGACACGCCTGCACTGGTTATCACTGGTTGCTCTTGGAAGATTCTTTTCTGATCAACCTCGTCTGGTTTTTTTTAAATTTTCCATTTCATATATGGGATAATTGATCCTTCCCATTGACGAACTCCATCATTTTTCAAGATGGTAAATTCTAACCACCAAGCAGTTTATTATTAACCATCATTAACCATATAATAACCATGTACTAACCATAAATAATCATGACTGGGAGAAAGTTCTTCCGGGCGGCTTGTTCCTGGAAAATCCGTTCGTCAGAAGAATGCTTGGGCCAAGGATCCCCAGCTGGAGCTACAGTTCTAGGCAACTAAAAGTACAATTAATATAATATGTGTATATATATATATTACATATAATAT